GAGTGTAGTGGCACAGTCTCAGCTCACTGCAACTCTCCAGCTCCCAGGTTCAAGCAGTTTTGCTGCCTCAGCTTCCAAGTAGCTGTGATTACAGGTATGCACCACCATGCCCATCAAATTTTTTGTATTTTTGGTAGATACGGGGTTTCACCATGTTGCCCAGACTGGTCTTGAACTCCTGACCTCAGGCGATCTAGCCTCCTTGACCTCCCAAGAAGCTGGGATTATAGGCATGACCACCACACCCAGCCAGAGGTGTCACTATTTTGCCCAGTCTGATTTCAGACTCGTGGCCTCAAGCATCCTCCCACCTTGTCCTCCAGAAGCACTGGAATTACAGTTGTGAGTGCTCCACCCAGCCTTCACAGTAGGTTTAAAATCTCATCAGGTGACAGAAAGTTGAGTCTTGTTTTCAGCCTCCAGAGGGCTGGACAGTGGGAAGACATTCTTGAGATTCAGATTGGTCTTGGCTCCCTGTCAGAAAGAGATTTTCTCCCTTAGAACAACCTGTTTTCAGAGTTTATCAAGCAGATACTGAGTAATTGATTACCTGGACAGGTGGGCGGGCATCCACTAGGGGGGCAGGTAAGATACAATTGCATTCTTGGAGGAATATGAGCCCATTAACCATTTATTAGAAATGACAATAATCTCTGGTGAGGCCAGACAGTATCCTGTCTTCTGGAACCATCTACAGCCTCATTGATCCCTCTTTGGCTCTCCATATTTCCATTCTTCATTCCTTGTTTTTGGAGAATCAGTATTGGGAGTCTTTATCAATACCCAACATAGGAAGTCAAGCTGGAAGCCACATGTGTGAGGACCATCCATTGGCTGCTGCCTCTTTAGGGTAAAGAACACTGGAATTTCCTAATATGCCTAAAGCCCCATTCATGCCAATAGGCACAGACCCTGTTTCATAACTGCTTGGGATACATGGTGGAAGCCCAATATACTGCATCTGTTTTCTTCATCCAAATAGGAGATTCCAAGGGCAAAAAAAACCATATTTCTCTCTTCATCACAGTGCCTTGCACTTAGTGCATTTCAACTCAATCTTTCTCCGCCTTTTCTCTCTCTCTCCCTCTTCCTTTTCCAAGAAATTATAAAGGCCAGGCACAGTGGCTCACACCTGAAATTCCAGCATTTTGGGAGGCCAAGAGGGGCAGATCACTTGAGGTCAGGAGTTAGAGACCAGCCTGGCCAACATGGTGAAACCCCACCTCTACTAAAAATACAAAAATTAGCCAGGTGTGGTGGCAGGTACCTATAAGTTCAGCTACTCAGGAGACTGTGACAGGAGAGTTGCTTGAACTTGGGAGACAGAGGTTTCAGTGAGTCAAGATGCACTGCACTCCAGCCTGGACAACAGAGGAAGACAGAAAGAAAGAAAAAGAAAGAAAGAGAAAGAGAGAGAGAGAGAGAGAGAGAGAGAGAGAGAGAGAGAGAGAGAGAGAGAGAGAGAGAGAGAGAGGGAGAGGAAAAAGAAAGAAAGAAAGAAGAAGGAAGGAAGGAAGGAAGGAAAGAAAGAGAAAGGGAGGGAGAGAAAGAAAAGAAAAAAATTTTAAGGAGCAAATTACAGAGGTGTCCAAATATATTTGTTGAACAGAACTGAAATACACCTCTGCAGTTTGGGTCTGAGCAGTGATCCCCAACCTTGGATCTAAGGAGACTTATCTGAGAAGTGAGAAAACATGAAAATCAAGACACTCAGAGATTCATGATTGTGAGACATTAGGAACTGATGACCTGCCAGCCATGGGAGCTCAGATAAAACATGAAGCTGACACCCTGACAACCAACAGGGACCAGGCTCCTGGCTCCAGCCACTGGGCTTATTAAAGCCTGGGAAGGTTTATGAACCACATGGTTTCCTACACAGACTCCAAGCCCCTTGCAAGCCTTTTCCTGCCTGGCTGTGACCTCGGCCTTCCCAAAAAAAAGCCTTGGCAAAGAGGAGAGAGAAGAAACACATGTCAATCAGGGATAACTCACTCACTGCAGCCCTGCGGGAGTGGCCTGCTCTGCCCAGGGGCCTCACTTTATGAAACCACATTGTTTTTTATGGATGATTAAAAAAATATCAGATGAAACAAAAATGGCCTCAGAAACTTACATAAGAAGGCTTGGAGTGGCTTACAAGGGCAGCGTCTGGCCCCCAATGTGCTGGCTCTGTGTTTTCTAATTCTTCTCCTTTTCTGCCCCCCAGTGTTCATCTAACCAGAAAGAAAGCATGTGAGATATCTGAAACTACAGATATTTAAAGACATGGCTTTGACAGCTTGAGCATTGATCAGGACGACCGTCTGCAACTTTTTTTTTTTTTTTTTTGCCACATACATTGAGTGGCAAAAAGTTAGAGGAAAGAGAAAGAAATGGCCACAGATGGTGGAGGGTGGGAGTGCTGCTCTAAGGGGAAGGGGCTGGGCAGGGTGGGAGGAAAACAAAGCCAGAGCCCGGCCTCCTGCCCTTCCTGCATTCTCCTGGGGCAGGGGGGACTGTGATGGGTGCTCAGATGAGGAAACAGATCTGTCACTTCTCATAATAATAGATGATGCCACAGGCTGACACAATGAAGGAGGGGGAGATTTTCCTGGAGCTTAAGGCTTGGAATTTGCTGCCCTGGCCATCCCTGTGCAGAGATACGGAATCTTCAGAACTTATTTTTTTCTTTGTTTCTGTTTTTGAGCCAGAGTCTCAGTCTGTTGCCCAGGCTGCAATGCAGTGGTGCGATCTCGGCTCACTGCAACCTCCGCCTCTGGGGCTCAAGAGATTCTCCTGCCTCGGCCTCCCAAATAGCTGGGATTACAGGCTCATGCTACCACACCTGGTGAATTTTTGTATTTTTTACTTGAGAGAAGGTTTTTTCATGTTGTCCAGGCTGTTCTTGGACTCTTAAGGATCTCTAGAACTTTTATTTACTTAATTTTTTTTTTCAAGATGGAGTGTTGCTCCATCGCCCAGGATGGAGTGCATTGGTGCAATATCATCTGACTAAAACCTCCGCCTCCTGGGCTCAGGCGATTCTCTTGCCTCAGCCTCCCAAGTAACTGAGATTACAGGCTCACGCTACCATGCCCAGCTAATTTTTGTATTTATAGTAGAGATGGGGCTTCACCAAGTTGGTCAGGTTGTTCTCAAACTCCTAGGGGTCTCCAGAACTTTTATTTTATTTATTTGTTTATTTACCTATTTTTGAGACGGAGTCTTACTCCATCATCCAGGCTGGAGTGCAGTTGTACCATCTCATCTTATTACAACCTCTACCTCCTGGGCTCAAGCAGTTCTCCTCCCTTAGCCTCTCAAGTACCTGGGATTATAGGCTCATGTTAAAATGTCCAGCTATTTTTTGTATTTTTAGTAGAGATGGGGTTTTACCATGTTTACCAGGCTGGTCTTGAACTCCTGACCTCCAGTGATCTGCCCTCCTCCACCTCCCAAAGTGCTGAGATTACAGACATGAGCCACCATACCCAGCAATCTAGAACTTTTAAATTCTCCCGAAGGACTTAGGGCCAATTCTTTCCTCCCCACCAGGGTCCTGCTTCTTTTTACTTTTCCTCATTCTCTCCTGCTTCATCAACTCCTCTTCTCTGCCTTGGTCCCTTGCCACTCCCAGTGCCATCAGGCCCAGATGGGATCCCATGTGGTCAAGAGGGGGTTGTCCTGTGATCCTGGCCTCAAGCTCTGAGCAGTCTCCCCAGGTATTCCAGTCCCATGGGAGGAAGCTGCTGGCAGATGCTGCTGACATGTATAGGCCACCTAGGCTATAGAACCTTGTAACCAATGGTCAGAGCTCAGAGCACACATGCTGGTGTCAGAGAATCTCCCAGAGGTCCTGAGCTAGCAGCCCCCATGCCACATAAACAAGCAAACTGGGACATCTTGTCCTGCCACAGTGTGGCCCTAAAAATGAGGGGGTGCCAGATGCGGTAGCTCATGCCTGTAACTTCAGCATTTTGGGAGGCCAAGGTAGATAGATCACTTGAGGTCAGGAGTTCCAGACCAGCCTGGCCAACATGGTGAAAACATGTCTCTACTAAAAATACAAAAATCAGTTGGATGTTTTGGCTCATTCCTGTAATCCCAGATGCTCGGGAAGCTGAGGCAGGAGAATTGCTTGAACCCAGGAGGTGGAGGTTGCAGTGAGCTGAGATTGTGCCACTGCACTTTAGCCTTGGTGACAGAGCAAGACTGTCTCAAAAAAAAAGAGTTGGTACTCATCTCTCTCAAGTTCCAAGATGATTGCTGATGTCTTTACCTTAAGGGTGCAGCCTTGTAAGTACAAATGAGCCCAAAGTGTGGTGAGCATAAGCTTTGACTTGCTGACTCTGTCCTGTGGGACTGGAGGCTGTGGGCTCCACACCCTGAAAATCTGTCCCAAAAAGCCCTTTCTCCAGCTCTCTCTTAACCATCCTCACACGGGGGATCTGAAGTTATCTAGCTCTTTCCACCATCACCCTCAAGCTTTGATGGTTAAGATTCACCAACCCTTCATGGCCAAATAGCATGATTTTGGCTCACTGCAACCTCCACTCCCCTGGTTTAAGTAATTCTCTTGCCTCAGCCTCCCAAGTAGCTGGAACTACAGGTGCCCACTACCATGCCTGGCTAATTTTTTTTTGTAGAGATGGAGTTTTACTATGTTGGCCAGGCTGGTCTCAAACTCTTGACCTCATCATCTGCCTACCTTTGCCTCCCAAAGTGCTGGGGTTACAGGCATGAGCGACCATGCCCAGCCAAGAATCTTATCAAAAAATTAAAAAGGCATGTTGTATACCTGTCTCCTCAGTTACTCAGGAGGCTGAGGTGGGAGGATCATTTGAGCCCAAGAGTTTAAGGCTGCAGCGGATCATGACTGCACCACTGTAATCCAGCCTGGGTGACAGAGCCAGACCCCATCTCATATATAAATAAATAAATAACAGCAACCCCTCAATGCCAAAGAAGCCACCCCCCCATGTCTCCATCACTCCCCTCCCAACTTCCAGTTCTGGGGAAATCAAGACACAAAGGAGGCTGATCTGGGAAGTGCTAACATGTATTTATTTCACAAGGTGGAAGATGGGGTGAGGAGATGACCACCCATAAGATGTCACCAAATGAGACTCTTTGAATCCCACACAGGGCAAGGGGGAAGCTACAAGATTCAGCTCTGGGTGGTGCTTGACCAGCGACAGTGTTGGGGAAAGAGACAGGGACTGAGAGATGGGGCAGCCTTCTGCAGGGGTCTCCACAGGGCAGGGCTGAGTCACATGCTTCTGGCCAGACATGGGCCAAACCCACACCCCACTCATTCTTCTCATCCCCCTCATTTCTATCCAGTTGAGCAATGAAGCAGCAAGCCCAGGGCCACACAGCTACATCAGCATTGTCACATGCTTTGGAACGCACAGCCAGACATGCACGCACACTCCCTGTCACACGGAGCACACAGGCACACACACAGTCATGCATGCACACGTGTTTATATATTAACTCTGATTTATATGTGCACCCTAACGAGAGGGCAATCGAAAAAAAAAATTATTACTCTTCAGAGAGGAAACGACTGCCTTCTCCTCTGCCAGCCAGCAGAGCATGGGGTGAAATGAGATGAGCTGAAAGCATTTTTGAGGTTCCCAGAAGCCTTCACTGAAGCCTTTAGGTTCTGGATGAAGAGTCCCTTCTGCTTCCTGGGGACAGCCTCCGTGACTCAGGGCTCCCAGGTCTTTGACCCAGCTCCATCCTGCAGGGTTCTTATGGCTTAGACCATCCTACAGGCTTAGTCTGTTTCTGTCTCTGGCTTCCTCTAGACAGAGGCAGGAGAGCTGGCCTAAGCACATTGATATGAGCCTAGTGCCCACGTGACCAGGAGAGAAAGCATCAGCTCCATCTAGGTCATCACAGGAGGGGCCAGAAGAGTCCAGAGCTGCAGTGCCCAAAGCCACCCTGGTGGAAAGAGTTGGGGGCAGTGGCTGCCTTCGGGTGTGATCAGGTAGGTGTCATCTTGGAAGAAGCAACCTCAGAGGAAACTGAGTGCCAGTCCTTGCTTCCTCCTTTTCCTCCTTTTAGGGTGAAGAGTTAGGACATGGCTGAATTCCCCGCTGCCTCCCACTGTGTTGATGGCTGGAGTTGAGCAGCTGCCACTGCAGGAGACAAGATGCAGGAGGGGACTCTGCCAGTAATGAGGTGGAGAACTGGACAATCTCACTCCTCATTACCAGGTCCACATCAGAGGCTGCAGAAGACACCTCTCAGTTTCCCAGAGAAGGGCGGGGGCCTTTTCAGGGTGCAGGAACTCTATGGGCAGCTGAATACCTGAGGGCGACAGAGTATCCATCTGGGGTCCCTGTGCTGCCCTGGAGGAGCCCTGGGGAGCCTGCTGAGCACCTGCCAACCCCTTGCTGTTTCTCCACCAGGGTGGCTGGTCCACAGGTTGGCTGGTCCTGGAGGTCAGGCTCCAGTGCCCCAGCTTCCTCTCTCTACTTGATGGAGTTCTTAATGGTCCACCTCTGACCCATGCAGCTATGAAGGATAAGGTTGATACAAGCCAGGTCCCAATTCTCCACCTCCAGGCAGTGCCCCATGCCCTTGTTCATGATGGCTCCATTTTGGAAGGGGACAAAATCAAGAACAGGGGAGGAGAGAGAGAGAGAAAGAGATACAGAAAAAAGACAGGAGAGAGAAAATGAGAAAGAGAAATAGGAAAAGAAGAGAGACAGAGAAAGAGACAAAGAGAAGACAGAGACAGAGGAGAGAAAAATGGAGGGGAGAGAGGAGAAAGAGGAGAGAGAGATGGAAGAAAAAGAGAACGATACAGAAGAGAGAAAGAAAAGAAAAGAGACAAAGAGAAGACAAAGGGAACAGGGATAGAAAAAGGGAAGAGAGAGAAAAGAGGCAAAGGGAAAGATAAAGTGGAGAGAAAGAAAAAGCAAAAAGAGGAAAAGAGAGAAGATAGAGGAAAAAAGAGGAGAGAGAGAGAAGAGAAAAGAGAAAGAAAGGTGGAGAGGGAGAGGAAGAGACAGAGAGAGAGAGAGAACAACAGAGAAGGAGAGACAAAGAGAGGGAGAAAGGCTTAACCATCATGGTGCCTAGCACATAGCTTCTTGCAGAGAACCACTTCCACCAAAGTTCTTTGCATGGGGCTGGGCAAGGAATCATGAGACCTCCTCTGCACACTCTGAAGTCAGAACCTAAATAAGCTTCACTGCATTTGAGTATCTGAATCAGGTGAGGAGCATTGGTGGGAATGGGGTCGGGTTGGGGAGTTTCCTGGGACATTCTTTGTCTGATATTCTCAGGCCCACTGGCTGTGGGTACTTAGTAAATTTCAGGGAATTTCGCCCTCAATACTCTCTCAGGATTGATCAGAGCTCAACTGAGGTGGGAATCAGAAATAATCAGAATTGATCGTAGCCTAGCACTGAGGTAGGAATCAGAAATGCTACTCATGCAGAAACTCCACAGCTGCCCCCAGGAAGTGCCTTGGGAATACAAGCCCAGCCCAGGGCAGGAAGATTTGGGCTCAGGGTTGCACTTTGCTGGGGACCCCTGGGGAAGCGGGATTCCCCTCTGTGGTCTGCAGCCTCTAGCCCCTACTCTGGGTGCTGGCCCTGTCTATACAGCGCTCACCTGGATGAAGTTCCAGCACCTGTACAGGCTGCTCTTGACCTTGTCACAGTCCAGGAGCTGGGGCATCTGGCTCTTAGAGTTTTCTAGCAGGCAGTGGGTGTCAGGGAGGAGCGTGGTGGTCCCCAGGGTGCCAGGTGGAGTAAGCCTTCTTTGGTGTAGTAGGCAAGCTGTGTAGAAAGCAAGTCACAGGGGAATAGGAGTGAGAGTCAGGAGCGAGACCTTAGGAAGAAGCCGGCTTCACCACTACTGTCTCAATACTGCAGTCCTAGTCAGCACCCCAGTCCTGTCACTCATGCCATATGCTCAGCTCACAGAGAGTCCTGCTCCAGAAAGCCTCCCGGGCTTCCTGAGCCTGGATACAGAGTCCCCAGAGTGACTCTCTGGTGTTTTTCTAAGTATATCCAGTCCATGTTTGAGGACATAGTCTTCTGTCCAGTAATGTGGGGGAGAAGGAATAGATGAAGAAGCTGGATGTCTGATTTCTAAATGGTTCCACTCTCAGCTGGCTGGGCCACCTTGAACAAGTGACTTAACCTCTCCGAGTTTCCATTTCCTCCTCACTTAGAAAGGGGTTTGACTACATCTACCCTGCTGCAAAAGGCTCCAAGAGGCAATTCACTGAAGAAGAAACAGGCATTAAACCATACTCAACCTCACAGGTACTCAAAGAAACAAAAATTTAAACTGAGATACCACATTTTAAAAAAGAAATTAGGTTGGATGCTGTGGCTTACATCTGTAATCCCAGCATTTTGGGAGGCTGAGGCAGGTGGATCACTTGAAGCCAGAAGTTTGAGACTAGCCTGACCAACATGGCCAGACTCTGTCTCTTCTAAAACTACAAAAATTAGCCAGGTGTGATGGTGCACACCTATAATCTTAGCTACTCAGGAGGCTGAGGCAGGAGAATTGCTTGAATCTGGGAGGTGGAAGTTGCAGTGAACCAAGATCACACCACTGCACTCCAACCTGGGCACTAGAGCCAGGCTCCACTTCAAAAAACAAACAAACAAAACTAAAAAACCTGAAACTAAAATAAGAGATTATTCACATTTTGGTGACAAGTCTAAGATAGGCCTTCTCACTGTTGAGTTGGAGGGAGGGTAGATTACTAAAACATTTCAAAAAGGAGATTCTAGGTGTACACTTTGTGCTTTTAAAATGTTTGTGGCCTTTTATCCAATTAATCCACTTACATGCTCAAAGACAGGAATAGAGGACATAAAAGTGGCCAACAAACACATGAAAAAATGCTCATTACTAATCATCAGAGAAGTGCAAATGAAAACCACAATGAGATACCATCTCACACCAGGATGGCTATTTTTGTTGTTGTTGTTGTTTTGAGATGGAGTCTTGCTGTGTCACCCAGGCTAGACTACAGTGGCTCAATCTCAGCTCACTGCAACCTCCGCCTCCCAGTTTCAAGCGATTCTCCTATCTTAGCCTCCTGAGTAGCTGGAATTACAGGTGCCTGCCACCATGCCTGGCTAATTTTTGTATTTTTAGTAGAGACAGGGTTTCACCATGTTGGCCAGGCTGACCTTGAACTCCTGACCTCATGATCCACCCACTGGCTGCAGTGGGCCCAGAGCCCAAGACCCACACTCTGTCCTTGAGCCAAGGAAGAAGGGACCTTAGGGTGGGGAAAGGTGCATTGGACTACCCTCAGGCTGTCTGAGACCAGCCCTGTGGCCTCCACCTTTCATTCTGCTGCACCTGTCACATGTAGACCGAATGTGGAAGCAGCAGTGGCAACCCCTGATCCTGCCAATCTCCACCAACAAGGTGGACCCAAGGGCCAGACCCCACTGCAATGCCTAAATCAGCCCCTGAAGCAGAAACAGGGTGGGAACTGATGCTCCGCCCCATCTCAGTGGCTGCAGCGTACTCAGCGCTTGTGACCAGCGCCCTGAACATGAGTCAAAGAGGAGGGGACCCTAGGAAGGGAGAGCGGTGCACTCAGCAACCACTCTGGAACCAGCCCTGCCAGCCTGTGCTGGGGGCTCAACCTGAAAATGGTGCAGGGCCAGAGTGGTGGCAACCCAGAGCCTACCTGAGGCACCAGGAGTGAGGCTCCCTGGTCCAGATGCAACCAGGCACCTAATTCAGGTGGTCAGCTCTGCAGCTGCAGTAGGGTGAGAACCGGTCAGCCCCATCCCTGAGGCTGCACAGTGCTCAGCGCCTGGACCCTGCGCTCTGGGTGGGGTGTTTACCAATTTTACATAAACCGAATGAAAATACCAAGGTTTTAACATTTTTGCATGACGTGCTGTCTTTCACTATTGTGATGACATTTAAAAAAATTGTATAATGGAGTGAAAAAACAGTACCTCCTCTAGATATCAAAATGTGCTATTAATTTTTACAATTAATTGTTTACTAACAGCTGAAAATACAGACAAATGCATGAAACAGAGTAGGAAATCTAGAAATACTAAAATTCTGTAAGATATATGTAAGAATTGATAATGTTAACCGTTATGAGTAGGAAATAATGAATTATTAATGAAAAAAATGCCAGCTGTTTGAAAAAAACCTAGTGAAATTTTATGTCATAAACATGAGTTTCTGATGGAATACAGATTGAAATTTCTACATATGCAAATAAGAAAAGTACCAGAAGAAAACACAAACAAATGCTAATTTTACGGGCATATTTTATGTTGTCAAAGGCCTTCCTAAGAATGACCTCACAAACAGGCATTCTGAAGGTTAATTTAGCAAACTAAAAATTAAAACTGCGTTTCAGGAAAAAAAATTAACAAAATAAAGGAGAACATACATAAAAAATATTTACTATATTACATATATATACATATTCAGATGAAAAGTATGTTTTGATTTAACAAGAAATTTATATTATTATTATTTTTGAGATGGAGTGTCACTTCTTTGCCCAAGTTGGAGTGCAATGGCACAATCTTGGCTCACTGCAACCTCTGCCTTCTGTGGTTAAGCAATTCTCCTACCTCAGCCTCCCAAGTAGCTGGGATTACAGGCCTGTGCCAGCACACACAGTTAATTTTTGTATTTTTAGTAGAGATGGGTTTCACCGTATTGGTCAGGATCATCTCAAACTTCTTACCTCAAGTGATCTGCTGCCTCAGCCTCCCAAAATTCTGGGATTACAGGTGTGAGCCATTGTGCCCCGCCTATATTCTTTATTATGGATCTTATGATATACATATTACTGATATGTATAACATATATATTACAGATATAATATGTTATATATATCAGTTATATATTATATATATATTAGATGAAAAGTTATATGTATGTTAGATAGATGTATTTTTCATCTAATGTGTCTAATATTAGATGAAAAATACATCTTCATTTTACAGGGAATTCTTTCAAATCAAATAATCAAAAACTCTAAAACTGGGAAAGGTCCTTATTTGCAGATGTACAATTTAATTTATGTACACAGGAAAACATCCCTTGCATTTCTGGTATAAGGATTTAAAAGAGGAAAGAAACTGTTTTTTAACCATAATATTTCTGAGAATGTTTTATACTGTTGCTTAAAGTCCAAGTTGCTGATGACTTTTCAAATAGATAATTTGGTGGCAAGTACTACATTTCAAAAATGTGTATGCCCTTTACCTGTCAACTCCATTATACTAAAATACTCTTTGGAAATAGAAATACATGCATTTTATTTTTCACAGCACTTATTTTATAAAAAATCCATAGAATGGATTCTAGAAATAAATTCAGTTGAATCCATAGGATGGAATAATATGTGACCATTGAAGGTGACAGTAAATATAGAAGTACGTTGATGTGCAAAGATGTATTCTGTTGTAGCCAGTGATGAAAAAAAATAGTTTGATTATACAAATACACAAACATACTATGGTCTTGTTTTACCAAAAAATATTTACAAAATATCATCAAATTTGTGGTTTCTGATCATTCACATTTTAAGTAAAGTTTTTTATCCTTTTTTTAATCTGTGAGTGCTGCATTGAACATGTACAAAATTAAAGTAAATGTTTATTATTAATGGAATAATCTTTGGGAAGAGAGAAATATGAATCTTGCACAGATATAAATGATTTCACACTTTCTATTTTTTAACATTATTATTACTGTTTGTGTTGTTTTCTTTTTTAAGTTTTTAGCCTCTTCAGAAATAAAACTGAAATGTATTTATCTGTGTTTCCAAATGTTATTATGGATATATTTTATTTTTGTACATATATTTTACTTATATGTAGTTTCATTCAACTTATGGAATAATTAATCATTTCATTTTAATTGTATTCTTTAAAAATAACAAATATAATTACTATTGTAAAAATATTGCTTTATAGGAGTTAACTTAAAAATATTGAACTCATCAATTGTATTTATCCATTCTTTCATTTCATTTATTCATCAAACTTAGCTTGAGTACCTGTTATGTAGCAGAGTACCTGTATGTAACATGTTCTGCTATTTCTCAAGAGCCTTCCATTTTTAAAATCTTTTTGTTTACCTGCCATGCCAGCAGAAGCTGAGAGATTTAAAATGGGAATATTAGGACATAATCTCATTGAAACATCATCTCCCACCTTTCAAACAAAAGCATTTCTGAAGTTAGTAAATAGCAGAAGATAACCTTTAACTGCCCTTTCAAAAGTTTATCAGTCTTAAATACTAGTATTAATTATTGGGAGGTGTTATTTGTATATATTTTGTAAAAATAAGTATTGAATAACATGAGCTATAAATATTCATTTAAATTATGAGGCTTTTTTGGCTTCACATTGTTTGAAAATCAAAGAATTAATTTGTTTTTAAAATGTATTATCGTTATTAACTGGCTATTTTGTCCTTTCATTGATAAAAATTCTTCTTTATGTTAATGCTCTTTACTTTTTGGTGTATTTTTAGAAAGGGTCATACTGGTTGTTCCTTTCTGTGTATAATGCTTCTTTTAGAAGTTCTTGTAAAGCAGGCCTGGTGGTAATAAAATATCTGAGTGCTTGCTTGTTCCTAAAAGATTTTATTTTTCCTTCAAATGTAAAGCTTAAATTGGCAGGATATGAAATTCTGGGCTGAAAGTTCTGTTGATTAAGTATATTGAATATTGGCCCCCACTCTCTTCTAGCTTGTAGGGTTTCCATTGAGAGATCTGCTGTAAGCCTAATAGGCTTACCTTTATGGGTAACTT